TTTCAGGGCCACCATTTTTTCAAGTTGGCGAAGCTATACAATCCCGACAGTTAATTGATATGATCGATTAATATAAATTTAAAACAGCACTTTTCAGTGCTAAATTTAAATCATAGTCAAATTATTTGCTAAATAAAAAAAACTTATATAATTTTTATAAATCAACAGTTTTAAGTGCTATTAAAACGTATGTGCAAATATATTGTAGCCGCAAAGGTAAGTCTAAAAAAACAAACGTTTCAACAAAAAAAACAATTCTAAATTACGAATCAATTCAACCTTGTGTTTTTCTTTATTCCTACCACATATTCAGCGAAACGAGCAGGTAAGTATAAGAAAATTATTTTTGAATTTGTTAAAACATATACTATATTAAAATAGTTCATTTAATTCAGTGTACAAAATAATATTAAAATTATAATTTTTTCCTAAACCATAAAGTAATACATACTTAGTACGCACTATCTTTATAAAGAGCGACAATGGCTCAATCGGTAAAGCACTGTCGTGTAGATGCAGAGGAGGCTAGGTTCGATTCTCCAGTATGTCTATTCTTTTTTTATTTTTTCTGTTCTTAAATAAATTTTAACGAGAAGTCACATATTTTTTACTAAAACATTATTAGGAGAAAAGAAATGATAAATAATGTTGCTAATGTTTTTCTTATAGAGTATTAGATGTAAACAATTAATTATTTATATGTACATATGTCAACAATTACATTCAACAACATGGACAGGTAAGTTCTTTTAAATTAAAATAGTTGAATTATTATTATTAAAAACAACAATAAAAGAATGTGTCTAAAATCAGTGCGTATACTACTGTGGGCAAAAAGTAAGGTGAATTTGTTTGTAAAATGAAAAATCTTTATTTATTCTTCTACATCAATGTCATCCCCTTCGAAGTAATCCCCTCCTGATAAAATACACTTATACCAACGTTTTTTCCAATCCTCGAAACATGCCAAATAGTCCCTTTCCGGTATAGCCATCAGCGCCTTCTTCGATTCAGCTCTTATCTCCTCAATCGACTCGAAACGCGTTCCCCGGAGTGGTCTCTTGAGTTTTGGGAATAGCCAGAAGTCACACGGAGCCAAATCAGGCGAATACGGTGGTTGCGGAACGATATGCGTCGAATTTTTGGCGAAATGGTCACGAAGAACGAGTGAACGAATTGAGCGTTTTCGGTACCAAACGAGATTTGACTTTTCGTAGGCCCAAATGGTCTTTCAAAATTGTTTTCACAGATCCTTCTGATATTCCGATCATATCAGTAAGGTCTCTAACAGTCAACCGACGATTTTCGAGCACTAATTCCTTCACTTTATTGACGTGTTGGTCATCTGTTGACGTCGATGGTCGTCCGGAGCGCTCCAAGTCATCAACACGTTCTCGACCCTCTTTGAAGTCTTTGTACCACTTATAAACATTTTTCTGCGACATGGTAGAATCACCAAAGGCCTTCCGCAACATCCTCAACGTTTCCGCAGCCGAAATTTCATTCCGCAAACAAAATTTGATGGCACTTCTTTGCTCAATTAAATCAGACATTGTAAAAATCGAAACATGCACTCTTGGTCGTTTGGTAAACACAAGCGTAAATATATTACTGATGATGACATTGACATGAAATTTGTCCCAGATGTCATTCGCAGTCCTACCAACTCAAGAAAAAAAGAACTAGCCCGAAATGTTAAGCCCGCGAAGTTTAAATTGAAAATTCACCTTACTTTTTGCCCACAGTAGTATATGACAGTTTTGAATTACGTCACTCGTATAGACCGTTGAGTCGATTCCCCACGAGTTGTATGCTTTACATACACATACATAGGCATGCACACGTATATGTATAGCTCATGACAAACTAAATGAATTCTTTTATAGAATGTATAGCATGTATGGCATGTATGGAATATTTTTAATGGAGGATGGAGAGGGAAATCTCAATCGTCTGCTATAAAAAATGAACTGCATGTCATCAGCAGTTGCATACGCTTCGAGCCTTGAAGAATTTCAAGAGCAAGATTCGGGCTAATCTCTTCGTGTTATATTAAACTTAACCGTAAATATCAATAAGTACAATCTTATGAGGGCTGGCCCTTACGTTGATTGCCCGAGCCTATTAGAAGAAAGAGAGCTTGTGTATATGTGCAGAACAACGACAACGAATGTTTCAAATGGGACATCCTTTCGGCATTACATCCAGTCGCAAAGAATGCAAGTTATATCACTGCCTATACCGCTCATCAAGATAAATATAATTTTAAAAATCTATCATTTTTGGTACACCCAAAAGAAGTCGTGAAATTTAAGAACAAAACGACGTTTCAGTGAACGTCTACTTTTTAAATTTGAATAATGGGTCCTACGAGGTATTGCTGCAACATTTGACCGATGAGAAAAAAGAAAAGCACGTGAACCTTCTTCTAGTGGAAAATTATTATATCGATGCTAATGCTGATGTGAACAAAGAGCAAATGGAACGTCTTCCAAGGGAACCACCCCAACCCGATCTCACCGATTTAAATGATTATGGGATAAGTTGTAGTACTTGAAAAAAAATTAGATACGTGTTTTTTTTATCGGCCCATAAGGGCTTTTAAGGGGTGAAATCCACCATGAAAATCAACCCCTAAAATCAGTTTTTTAAATATTTCTCAGCTTCAAATGAATATTTTTCAGTAAACTCAACGTTAAAAAATTTCTAATAAAAAGGCGCTTTTAAGGACATAACATTTATACCAAAGGGTTGCAACCCCCTTTTTAATAGGGGTAAATACACTATTTTCTGTACTGTTTTACGACATGTAATATAGTAAATCAGCTCGAGTGATTTAAAAATCGCACTGATGATGAGAAAATACCAAAATTAAATTGACGTGTTTCTGGATTTAAAAAAAAAAATGTTTAAGGGGTATTTTACCCCCTAGAAACCACCCCCGTCAAACTATCAGCAGGTTAATCCACCTAACCCTGGGATAAACAAGTTTAGTCGTTTGTTATTTCTTGAAATAATTTGATCCTATGCATGAGCCAGCTACCTCAACTAACCAACCTGTCTCTAACCTACCAAACCCCCATAAACCACCCTTACCGAACCACATGCAGGCTAACCCACCTAATCCTGGGAAAAGCAACTTCAGTCGTTTGTTATTTCTTGAAATAATTGAATTTTACACCATAAGCGAGTTATCCCAGCTGTATAACATACCTCTTATCCACCTATCCCTAACCTATCTAACCCCCGCCCTTATAAACCAGCCTTACTGAAACACAAGCAGGCTAAACCTCCTAACCCTAGGAAACACGAGTTAAGTCGTTTGTTATTTCCTGAAATAATTTATTCCTACGTCTGAGCGAGCTACCTCAACTAACCAACCTGCCTCTAACCCACCAAACCCCCATAAACCGCCCTTACCCAACCAAATGTAGGCTAATAGACCTAACTTTGGGAGAATTGAGTTTATAAATTGCTTTTTCTAAAATAATTGATTTCTACACCGTTCTACACGTACCATTTTTTTTATAAAATATATCTATAGCTCAAACATAATTTATGACAAATAAAAATATGTTTAATACATTTTATTTTAATAGTATCAAAATGGCGAGAAATATCTCTTAAAAATAAACGGGAGAATAACACGAGGTCTAATATTCATTTATAGATCTATACATATATATTTATATTCGTATGTAGATACGTAAATATATTTACGTAAGAGCCATCGTACGCGATACTACATATATTTTGATTTTTCATAATAATTTTCATCTTTTTCTTTTTTTTATTTATTGGTAAATTAAAATGTATCATTCAACGAATTCCTTACAGAAATGATAATCATCGAAAAAGTGTTTGAAACGTAATGATCTTTTACACCAACCACACCGTATTATAGCAACATTTTTACATGCTTCTACTTCGCAATGTATATTGCAAGAATCTCCAAAACTAAAATCAACAGGGTTATCTGTTTTAGCTGGTTTTTCAGTAATGTAGCCGCTTTTATACCAAGCGTATTTAAAAATATTTGTATATCTTGGTGAAGAAAGCTGGTTATGGACAAGAGACTGCATTTTTATGATGTTATTTCTTAAATGTAGATTCATTTCATAGTCCATCAAAATTACTTGATCTGATAAACGTCGAATAAAGTTTTTCCAGATACGAAATCCATAAACATCGAGTGGTTGGATGTTCCCTGTCGTTCCTGTGGAAATTTTTTTTAAATTAACAATTTTGTTTGTCGGCATCGTTTCCCTTACAGCTTTATCGCAATGTCCACTCCAAGAGTCGAGTAAAAGTACAGATTGAGGTTCAACATTTGGGTAAAAAACTTCTTTCAACCAAATTTTAAAATGATCTAAAATAAAAAAATGTCAACAATTTTTTATGTCATTGCATTATAATAAACAAAAATATACTTGTCGTTAATTTTCCAGATTAAGATGCTTCCACATGCACATTTTCTGATCTAAATAATGAAGATTCCATTATTGAACCGAATTGACCTGACACTCCTGACGTACCCGAGTCATACACGCTCCACATCAACATGCATCACACGATACTGCACTACACTGACACACCTTACCCCGGGGGAGCTACTCCGGAGATTCCTCACCACACTACCACAAGCACTACACTAAAACACACAGAGACGAAACATTTCCCTGAACCAGGTGGTGTGGGTAACCGTGCCCAACTGGCTTTCTTGGCACCCACGGTCACCATAGGTGTCGCGGACGGTACCTCGGGAGCACCTGGCGCACTCTCGAGTATCAAATGCCTTACCCCCCGCAAGCGGGGCTCTGCGAGGGGTTGACCTTTATTCCCTAGCTTCTCGTGGGAATCAAAATTTCTATCAACAATTCAAGTGGGGGGGGGGGGCAATGGATGGGGTAATAGTTGGGAGTGAGAAGTCGAAGGAGGCGCTTGTATCGGAGGGTGCGATGGAAAACGCGAAAGGGCCGCGAAGCGGAGAAGACAGAGGAATGGATGTTAATCGAGTTCCCACAGTCAAGAAATGGATTGAAGAAGAGGCGATGATGGACATCGCCGCGAAGCTTAGCGCAAAGCTCAAGGTGATCCAGGACGCGCTGGCTGCATACGACAAGGTCAAAGACAGAATAGGAAATGTGAGTCGCGAGATCAGGACTCAATTCGACAAGATAAGAGGTACGACGTTGGGTGCCGCATTATAATGTCAGAGGCTGCGTTACTTACCGAGAGTCACAGAACTATCAGGGGCAGAGAAGAGTCAATTATTGGCAAGGAAGAGGAATAGGGAGGCTTCTGGACAGAGCCCGGAACAGAGTTCGGCGTACCTTAAGGTGAACAGCCGAACGAACACAGGCTGAAGAGTGGCCATAAGAAGGAGCAGTGAATCGTCAACGAAGGGGATAATCGCGACGGTGGCTGCAGCAAAGGGTGAGGAACTGGTTCCATCAGCTCTGGGGACTGGTGCACCACAGGACTTCTACGAGGTCACGGAAGTGAAAAAGAAGAATGCGAAGATGAAACGTTATGGAAGGGGGCAGGATACGGGAACGATTATGATCCGACCGGAATCGGGTAAATCATACGCCGATATAATGAAAAGGATAAAGAATAGTGTGGATCCTACAGCGGCCAGAGTCCAGGTTCGAGGGCATAGGAAGACTAAGGACGGATGCGTATTGCTCCGTCCTTAGTCTTCCTATGCCCTCGGACTATGCCTTCCTATGCCTCGGAAAAGCTGCTGAAAGAACGGCGGATCAAAATTGGATGGCTCGTCTGCCATATTAAGGAAAGGGTGATGCCGTCTAGGTGTTACCGCTGCCTGGGCTACAACCACAAGCGTGTTGGTTGTACGGGCAGTGACAGGAGTAACGCTTGTTGGAAATGTGGGAAGGATGGCCACAAAAGTGATAAATGCACGGAGGCAAATCCGATGTGCTACTTATGCTATGAGATAGGTCACAAGTAGGTCACAAGAAAGTGCAAGGTTTTCAGGGAGGCGTTGGAGGAACGCAGGGCGGCTCTGAAAAGCAATGGCGAGGGTACTTCAAGGTAACCTAGGACATCGAGAGGCCGCACAGCTATTACTACCACAAATAGCGACGGAGAACAGGACAGACATCCTCATACTGAGTGAGCAGCACAAGGACTGGTCAATAAGTAAGACGTGGTTCAAAAATACCTCTGGTACATGCGCAATTTGGATAAGGGGCTCTGAAGTGAAAAGGATTAGGGGGTCAGGCGCAGGCGAAGACTTTAATTAGGTCAAGGTGGGGGATATAACGTACGTTAGCGTATACCTTTCCCCAAACCTTGTCATAGCGGACTTTGCAAAGAAATTAGAAGGGATAGAGGACCGGCTGAGAGAAATTCCCGGCTACCTAGTAGTAGCGGGGGATTTCAATGCCAGGGCGACGGAATGGGGGATGGGAAGGACAGAGACTAGGGGTAGATTGCTGCTGGGTATGGCTGCAAGGCTAGACCTGGCAGTTGCCAATAGAGGTCAAAGATCAACTTACATCCGACCGGGTTACGGGGAATCGATCCCGGACGTGACGATAGTGTCGGAGAAGTTACAGCAGCGTGTAGAAGGTTGGCAGGTGATAGACGACTATAATGCCAGTGATCATCGGTATATCACCTTTGAGGTGAAGGACAGGCCGGAGCAAGGTCATAGGGCTACTCCGCGACCCCCAAAGCGGAGCCTGAAGAATCTTGATAGAGATCGCTTTTCAGAGTTGCTTCTGGAGGCACCGGCACCTAGAGATAGACTGCCAGATAGTCTAACGGACAGACAGGCGGCGGAATTCCTGATAGAGGAGACCTCGGCCCTGATAGAAAGGATATGCGATGCTACCATTCCTATGAAAGGCGGGCGCCCGGACGGCAAGAGGGCAATTCATTGGTGGTCGGATAAACTGAGTAGTCTGAGAAAGACGTGCTTAAGAAGCAGACGTAGAATGTATAGGGCGGCGAAGAGACGCAGGCCAAACGCGGATGCTCTAGTAGAAGAATATAGGGTGGCTAGGAAGCAGCTAACGCGGGCAATAAAAGACAGCAAAGACAACAGTCTGAGGCGGCTGTGCGAAGAGGTGGAAGGAGATCCGTGGGGACTCGGATATAAAATTATGACGGAAAAACTCAAAACTGGAAACGGCGCTGAGCGTAGAGAAAAAGCCGTGATGGGAAGGATAGAAGATGAACTTTTCCCGACGCATCCAGCCAGAGAGGATACGGAAGACGAGGGTACACCGGGCGCTCCAGTTTTCACGAGGAAGGAGCTTGAGAGAGCGATATCCTGCCTGAGGACTGGAAAAGCTCCGGGACCGGATGGCATTCCAAGCGAGGTTCTACGACTGATCGCCAGTATCAGGCCGAGGCTCCTCCTGGATATGTATAACGGATGCCTCAAGGGAGGGTGTTTGGGAGAAGATGGAAAGTAGCGAGACTAGTACTCCTATACAAGGGGAAGGGAGATCCGGACGAGCCATCGTCGAACAGGCCATTGAGCCTTTTAGATACGGCGGGGAAGCTTTTCGAGCTTTTATTGAGATCGAGACTAACGGACACAATAGAGGCAGCAGGCGGACTGGCCGATAATCAGCACGGTTTCCGCAAAGGTCGCTCCACGATAGGCGCGATAAGATCTATCACGAACGAAATACTCGAGACGAGACGCGTGAAAAGCAGAGAAAAACCAATAGTGCTGACGGCGACGTTAGATATAAGAAACGCATTCAACTCGATTCGGTGGACGGACATTCTTAAGGTCTTACAAGCCCACGGGGTACCGGAGTACCTGGTGAGGGTGATGCGGGATTATCTACGACAAAGAAAGATTAGGTACGAGACGGCGGAGGGGTGGGTCACAAGAGATATCACAGCTGGAATGGCGCAAGGTTCTATCCTGGGTCCACTACTCTGGAATCTCATATACGATAGTCTGTTACGCTCTCCGTTGCCAGACGGAATAAAGCTGGTAGCATATGCGGACGACGTCGCTATTGTGATTGTTGCGCAGGAAATGAATCTGGCTGAGGAGATCCTGGATACTGTGATGACAATCATAGGGGACTGGATGAAGGCTCATGGCCTGGTGCTTGCGATCCACAAGACAGAAGTGACCATATTCACGAGGCGAATGATAGAACAAGAATGACAATGGCGGTACTGGACACTGAGATTCAGACAAAAGGGGAGATGAAGCAGCTTGGGGTCACGCTTGACTCCAGATTGACTTTCTGGCCTCACATAGAGCGAGTGGCGGAGAAGGCCACAAATAGGGTGACTGCCCTTAGCAGACTAATGGCGAACACCTATGGGCCCAGGCAAAGAACCAGGACGCTCTTAATGGCTACTACTAACTCTATGCTCTTGTACGGGGCAGAGATTTGGGCAGATGCGATGAAGGTGAAGAAATACCGAAAAAGACTGACGGACACGCAGAGAAGAGGTGCCTTGCGCGTGGCAAGCGCGTACCGGACGGTCTCGAAGGAGGCTATTCTGGCAGTGGCGGGTGTGATCCCGGTGGATTTGTTGGCTAAAGAGCGTAAGAACATCTATGAGAGGTGCCAAAACGAGGGTATAGAAGAGGTGGCTAGGTCAGAGAGAGAGAAGACACTCCAAGCCTGGAAGGAGCGCTGGGTAACTGATGGCAAGGGCGCCTGGACCAGACGGATCATCAGTGACTTGGGGGCGTGGGTAGGTAGAGGTTTTGGAGAGATCAATTTCTACCTGACGCAACTTCTCACTGGACATGGATACTTTCGGAGTTACCTACATAAGATGAATAGAAATGGTTCGCCAGACTGCGTCCTCTGCGGAGGTGTGACAGATGATGTGGAACACACAGTTTTCCATTGTCCACACTGGAACGAGGATAGGCAGCGTCTGATAGAGGACATAGGCACAGTTATTACACCGGACAGTGTAATCCAAACAATGCTCGGAAGCAAGGAGAACTGGGATAGAATGGCGGAGTACGTGGAGAGTATACTCAGGCGCAAAAAAGTGACAGGCCGCTTAGAAGCTCAGGAATGCGTCGACGACTAAAATCTGGCTTAGTAAGGTAAGGGAAGGGCGTCTAACTTTCTATGATACGTGACAAACGGGGGCGCAATTGGCGGCCGTGTACAACTTGGACACGCGTTTCGCAACGAACGGCGAGTTTTAAAAGCGTGACGGAGGCAGGCATAGTAGGATTAGGCTAGCACAGGCCGCCCAGTGGAGAAGTAATGCTCGCGCAGTTCCACACTGGGCGGTGGTGGGTGGATGTTACTTCGAATTGAAGCGGTGATCAGGCTCGCTGCGAGCATGTTCACGGCAGCAAGGAGAAGGGGGTTTGGATGGTCAGCTGTCTCCGATGATTATGCCACTATATATAGTGGCGGTATCTGACGAACCCGGCGAGTCCGTCACACGGGCGAAGAATGGATTTGGAAGCGGAAATATCCGTAACCCAACCCGATCAACGCTTAAGGTCCATGAGGATTTATCCCCGTTTTTAACCATCATAATAAAAAAAAAAAAAAAAAAACCCTCGAGCCCTTTAACCTGCTGCGGTATAACCCCCGACCCTCACACCCCAATTTCCTCAACCCTCGAGCCCTTTAACCTGCTGCGGTATAACCCCCGACCCTCATACCCCAATTTCCTCAACCCTCGAGCCTTTAACCTGCGAAGCTATAACCCCCGACCCTCATACCCCAATTTCCTCAACCCTCGAGCCTTTAACCTGCGAAGCTATAATCCCCGACCCTCATACCTCAATTTCCTCAACCCTCGAGCCCTATTACCGCGACGCTATAACCCCCAACCCTCATACTGAAATTCGCTACGCAGAATACCTCAAGCCTCCAAATTATATTCAACCTCCGAGCCCTGCAAGTCTGCAACCTCAGACTCCTTTGCCAGAATTTCCTCAATCAGCACTTCAAGCTGCTATCGTATAACCGTATGTCTCTACATTTCAATCCCTTCAATATCCAAGCCTTGTATTCTACGCAGCTTTCAATTACGCGTTTTAAATCTCATTTATTCAGTTTGTGAGTGTTGCATCTGAATATCTGCAATCCTACAGTTTTTCATTTCTTTTTTTTATGAAAACCCTGTCGTTTATCTTGAAATGAACGTTTAAGAGATTTGCGTCTATGATGATCTGTCAATGTATCGTGTCGGTGTAGGACCCAGCAATAGTCAGCCATCATGCTCTCATTCCATCTACCTTGATAATGTTCCTCTTTGTTTCTGAAATCTTGATGAAATCTTTCACCCATTTCTTCACTGAACGCCCCAACATTGTCCGGAAAGTATTCCAAATGTGAAAACAAAAAGTGTCTTTTCAAGCTCATCAAACACCCTAATTTTTGAAAATTCTGTAGCATTGTCGACACAATAGTTTTGTATTTAGGGTCCCGGTGGTTTCCGAGAAAATTCTCGGTGACACTTTTGAAACTTACCCAAGCATTTCTCTCATTAGTCGTCATTGTCAAGAGGAATTCATCATCTTTCATAAGTGCTCGAATGTCTGGCCCTACAAATATGCCTTCCTTAATTTTCGCTTCAGACAATTTAGGAAATTTGCCCTCAAGATACTTGTAACATTCGCCTTCCTTATCTAGTGCCTTGACGAATTGCTTCATCAAGCCCAGTTTTATATGGAGTGGAGGTAACAAGATATGTTTAGTATCAACAAGGTTCTCATGGACGACATTGTGTGATCTAACAACCATTCCGATTCTTTTCGTCCATTCTTTGCGAACCCAATGTTCTTCTCGTGCACGACTGTCCCAGAGACACAAAAAACAGGGGTGCTTCGTATTTCCAGATTGCAAGCCAACTAATATATTGATCATCTTGAAATCGCCACAAACGAGCCATTTGTGTTCATTGTAATTGATTTTCTCAAGAAGGAATCGAAAGTTATCGTGAGACTCTTTCATCACAGTGGAATGAACAATGGGAATAGCTGCATACTCATTCCCATTGTGCAGAAGTACTGCCTTGAGACTTTGTACAGATGCATCTATGAAGAGTCGCCAGTTCTCTGAATTATAACCTCCTTGCACTCCATATAAACTGATGAGATGCTTTATATCGTTGCAGTAAACAAGGTTACCACGCAAGTAAAATATGGCCGAAATTTAATATCTCTCTTCCTGTAAATAGAAACTTTTGTCTCAGGTAATAAAAGATTTCTTTCTTTTAGTCTTGAAGCTAAGAGTTCTGAAGAATCTTTCGGAAGATTCAAATCACGGATCAGATCATCCAAAGAATTTTGGTCGAAAAGTTTGGGCTTTTCTGAGTCAGAAAAATCTTCTTCATCACTACTGCTGCTTTTGTCTGTTACCGGAACTTCTATTGGTTGAAGTTTTTTTGGCTCAAAATCAGAATTTTTTTTTCTTTCTATTTTTCCATACTGAGCTGCTGTTACACTAGAAACGTTCGGATAAAGGAGAGAAGCTTTGTTATTATGATTAAAATCTAAAGTATCACATTTACAAAAGTAACAGTCATCATGGTGATTTTTAGGTTTACGCCGTATTGGTTGGAGAACAACTTCGGTTTTAGTTTTATTCCAGTTTTTCAAACTTCGGCGACAGTCTTCGCAAATATATTTAGGAACCCATGGTTTGTCTAAATTCTTCATAGGTGTCTCGTAACATTCTTCAAACTAATCTTTAGTGATTGATCGACGAAGTCGAGCTACCTCAAATTTATCGCAGATATTACAAACGGAATCGATTTTTCCTTTGCATGGAATTCTACATGCCGAGATCTTTCATAACTTATAAGTTAATTGGAAATCACGTGTAATATTATAAACTTATTCTAATAACGAAATGGGTAAATATAATTAAATTTCTAGAAGACAAAGTAATAATAAAGATCAGTAAAAGTACTGCACGCAGTGTTATATGAGAAATAATAGAAAGTATTTAATTCCAGTGTTTTCTCCGTTAGCCTGCCGCTCAAACACGATCTCTAACACGGATGAAGAGTAAAACACAAAAACTTGGAGTTTTCAAGCAGTGTTAAAACACGAATAATATTATAAACTTATTCTAATACCGGAATGGGGTAATGATAAAATTTCTGAAAAATGAAGTTATAATAAAAATCAATGAAAGTACTGCACGCAGTGTTGTACGAGAAATAATACCAATAATTCAATTCCAGTGACTTATCCGTTAGCCTGCCGCTCAAACACGATCCCTAACACGGATGAAGAACGAAGCACAAAAATTTGTAGTTTTTGAGCAATGTCATACACGGTTATCCTCAAGTAAGGAAATGTAGGCCCTAAGTGAATCCGATATCTGCTAACGTAGATACTTTCTTCATCGTTAGTAGACCAGAAAAATATAAGATTAAAAATCCTAGCTGATCGATTTCGCAAGTTATAGACACTTGCATGTAAACGTAAATTGTACTTGTATACGTAAGTTGGATATGAATTTTCCTATCACAGACACAAATTCTTCTACCTTCTTTAACCGCAGAAATGACGTCTATCATTGTTCCATTGACCCAGCGGTATTCCCTGTCCACCAAACCCGAATTTCTTTAACCCTCGATAGGGCTGGGGGTTATAGCTTCGTAGTTTAAAGGCTCGAGGGTTAAGGAAATTGGGGTGTGAGGGTCGGGGGTTATACCGTAGCAGGTTAAAGGGCTCGGGAGTTAAGGACTTTGGAGTATGTCGGTCAGGGGTTACAGCGTCGCAGGTTATGGGGCTCTAGGGTTAAGGGAATTGAGATTATAGAGTCATTCTGACGTTAAATTTGGATTCAGTGACCCAAAAAACATATAATTACACTATAACTCTTTATTCGGAAATTCGCCACTATTTCGTGCTGTAACGAAATCGCTAAATCACTCAAATTCAATCTACGATATCTCGATGGAAAAAAAAGATTTTTTAAATCTGAAAAAAGGGTTTTGAAGGGTAAGAGTAGTACTTTGAGATAGCATTACTCATTTTTTAAAATAGAATTGGCTTACGACGTAATACTACGTGAAATATAGTGAAAAATCGTGTTTTTTGAACTTTTAGGTTAGGATTTCTCGAAAACCTAGGGTGATGGAGCAATTCTGAGGTCAAATTCGGTTTCAGCGCACCAAAAACGTTTGGAAACGTACTGTCTGGTTTCTGGATTTTTC